TGACCGTGTCGGCTCTTTGAGCGCCGAAGGGGACGAACGCCGGGCTTCTGCCTCGCGCTGCACATCACGATGCCGCTGGCTCCCGTCGTGACCAATGGCCAGGCAACGCAGTCCTGGGCGCATGTCCAGTCGAACCTCGCAGATCTCCCGCGCAGCACCTGCCTCACTCAAGTTCCATATGCATGCCACGGCCATGGCACGCAGGTTCACGCCACCCGCAAGGAACATGCGCTCGGGGAGGAATGACAGCGCAGCAACAGCTGCCCCGGGCAAGGAGAAAGTGAGATCGGCCTTTTCGATGCCAGTAGAACTGTGCCGGCTTTGCCTAGAACTGTGCCGGGTTATCCAGCATGCCAGACCAACGACTGTCTTCTGGGAATGTTTTAAAGCAACGCCGGGACCCGCCGCTGCCACCACGCCGCTTGTGGGGTCGTCACACGCTGCCACGGCCTGCAAAGAATGCGCGTGCTCTTCGGTACAGAGCTCCTCGTCCGGCAGGCGGTAGGCCTCCACCGAAATTTTTAGAGAAGCCAGACCCTGCACAGCTTTCTACTCACGCCGTGCCTTCATGATGCCTCCACCCTGGAAGCTGGCCACCAAAAGCTCACCATGTAGAGCCACGCTCTCCGCGATCCATTGCCCTGCAATTCCGCTCACCTGCACCGATCAGGTGCCAAAGGGCAAGGCCTTTTGCAAAGGTGTTCTGTTCAGTGATGAATGCACCGTGCCTTCTGTCGAGTCATGTCCCCGATCTTCCAGATGGAAAGCCCCCTGCCACAGGACAAAGGAGCTGATCACAGACGCAAAGCGACGCACAAAATCAGACAAATCCACCGACCCAGGGAAGACTCAGCCGCAACATCCCGACATTTCTGCGACACTCTGCCAGCCCGACCGGCTATTTTAATGAGTTCGAAACCCACTCGGATGCTTTCGGGTCTGCGTGGCCATTGCGGGCCTGATGGGGTGAGCATCGTGAGCATCGTGAGCATCTGAGAGCACGAAGGTTTCGCACATCTTGTGTACAGGAACTGCTCAGGCAAATGTTCCCAGCCATCCGCTTGGGTTTTTTGAAACGACATTGCTGAGCGATTCTGAAGCAAAGGGGGTCTGCTGATAGAACCTCATGGTTCGGTTGGGTTGGCTGCGGCTGGGCTGCGGCTGGGCTGCGGCTGGGTCATCGACCCCCATTGCTTCTTCCGTTACATGGGCTCTCGGTGCATCCGCAGGGTTTTCTGGGGCCGCTGCCCCATGCTGCTCGGACCGATGCCATGAGCATTATGAGCATTGGGCAACTTCTTGGGGCCCACAAATTGTGGGAATTTCCAACCACAAAACCCTACCGTGACGCAAAGGTTGACGAAGGCCAATCGCAGGCACACCCCTCCGCTTTTTTGCAACTGGCCTGCTGTGACTCCCCGCCGCTTGAAGCCAAACCAAGAGCCCTCAACCCGAAACCACAACACCTACTCAGCACCTGCTTATTTCAACCTTAAGCAGCTTTCGTTGACGGACTGGCACCCGGCACCTCCAACCTCCAGCTCTTCATAGAAACTAGCGGCTAGCGGCTAGCGGCTAGCGTTAGAGCGGCTAACGCTTCAGAGAGCTTCAGGATGTGAAGGTGATGTGATGCTCACGGCACCATGTGACAAAAGGCTCATGGGTCAGCTAGGCAGCTAGGCCTGGAGCGCGACCTGAGAATGCACAGAAGCAAGCAACCTCTTGCAAACAGCCACACAAAGCGTCATCATACTCTTTGATACCAAGCATCCTGGTTTCCACAGCCGCTGCCTACAGTGTCACAGCTCAGAGCCACAAAGGCTGGAAAACCACTCATGCAACCCAAAGGCTGACAGTGTAGCGTCAACCGTCGTTGTGTTTGTGGGACTCGCATCCAGTGAAGCCAATGCTGGTCTCAAATCTGCGCCTGCAACCTTAGTGGTCAAGCCGTGAGAATTGGGGAGATTGGGGAGCCCAACCCATCTTTCAACAAATCATGACAAATCCCATCTGCGACTCGGCTACTGCAAGGAATTGCCCAGTATCCGAGCATGCCACGACTGGTCGAGCACGTGTACAAATCCCACAAGGGACCCACGTGCCGCCGCCTGAATCTCGATCAAAGACGGCGCAATGTGTGGCCTTTTTGCCAGTCCTTTGCACACGCCAGAAATCGGCAGCACACAGCACTGAGCGTAGCTCTCATGTGTTCTTGTGGGCTTGACAAGGCTCCGTTGTGACCGAAAACCCACTGCCACCCAACGGCAGCCACGCGCTGCCGCCAATAGCTGAGGAGTTTCGTTGTTGAAGAACCACCTAGAACAATCTAACACAGCAAGCACACAAAGGGCACAGCAAGCACACAGCAAGCATCAAGCAAACAGAGGTGGATGCAAAGGCCCGCATGGCCCGCAAACCTGCGCACAAGTGCTCCGGACTCGGCGTTCACTAGCCCAACCTCGGATGCAATGATGTGGCCCGGCACATGTGAAGACAGACACTTGTCACATTTGCAGGGCAACCTTCCGCACCATATGCACCATACTCCGCCATTCCGAGAAACGGACTTGGTCTGGGTAAGTGCCACGACAAGCATGCAGGAATCCAGCCAACAAAGGGCGGGAATGCTCGAACTAAGCGGCACCTCTTTCGCACGCCACAGCCTCAAAAGAGGGAAACATGAGAAACGTGTGGGCCCAGGCAGTACGTACGAGAAGAAAAGAAGAAATAAGCGAAACCCACAATGAACCCAGAGACCCACAGCTGGCATCCGAGCAGCTCCTGCGTATCCAAGCTCCACACTGAAAGAGTGCTTGAGTGCTCTGACCATCTTTGTGCTCGGCGCTTGTGGGATCCAACGAGACCTGAGAGGCCCACAAGTGCAAAACACTCATTGACGACTGCCACACTGTGTGAAACACCTTCCGCGCTGGCGGTTTCGATGGAGTTGCTGGCAAGCTGACCTGCATCTGCAACGTGCGCCAAATTCTTGCCAACATGTGCACTAAAAATGAAAGTTGGCAGCTCATCACTTCAGGCTGCATGGACAGGCCCGGCGCGATGTGCCTGTTCCATCGCCCCTTTCGCAGCCCACAGCCAGCAACGTGTTGTCCGGAGAAGCTGCAGCGCACAGCACGCGGCTGTTGCCAAGTTCCAGCGTTTGTAAGTCAACATTCGGAGGCTGCAAGCGAAGCAGAACCTTTCCAACCCAGGGAGTGTGGGGGCGCACAACCAAAACATCAACAGCACAAACCATCCGTTGCAAGAAAGCCACGCGCTTGAAGTTCAGCATCTTGCTGACCTCATCCTTGCTCCGAGGCAGCTGAAGCTGGAGCGGCTTCCCAGCAGCAGATGGGTCCAGTGACCGCCAACCAGAGAGTAGCCAGCCTGCGACAAGATCCAAAACATTCCAAAACCACTTCAACCCTCAATGCTTGCCCCGCCGGCGCTTGCTCTGATTTTCATGTGTAAGGACTGTTGGTCGGCCGGCTGCCGGGAGTCGGGTGCACTTTCTGGTAACGTCTGAAACGGTGCTTGTTAAAGGTAGCATGTCGCAGTGAGATCTTGGCATAATTTGTTGTTCTGCACTTGCCGGCCCCTTGGACCTGCTATTTCGCACAATACGCGAACGGATGGCACACTGAGTAAGGAACGGGCACGCGCTTTGGCTCTGGCTTCGGCACATGAAGCGCGTAAGCGCCACCCTATCGCTGACTTGAGCTTCTGTCTTTGCGGATAAGCAGAGCCCCTGCAGGCCTGAGGATCCACGTACGCCCAGCTGGTGCGCCAAGCCTCCTTCCTGAACTGCAAGCACCTGCACAAGCCAATCTGCACAAGCCAATCTGCACCAACTGTTGACATGTGCTGACTTCCTCTCAAGGAACTGAGCAGAGCGAGCGGCAAAGAAAACTGATCGGCCAAACCGGCGACCACACCTTGACCTGCGTCCGAGAAAACGCCTTCGGTACAGTCGCCGGCCTGAGCTTCCCTGGCCTGCGTATTTCAGTAACATTTCGGCACAGTTGCCCGCCTGAACCTCCTCTGCTAACTTGCTGAACCTCCCTGGCTTGCTGCCGCACTTGGCCGCCTCAGCATTTCTGGCCTGCTTGTTCCAATCGCATTCTGGTACAATTGCCCGCCCCTTTTGTCCTGGATGTTGTGCTGCCTCAGAGCGGTACTGCCTGCTGTCTTGAGCCATCGCTTCACATGATGCATACCATTAGGAGAAAAAATGCACAGGCTATAAAGAAAGAGCGAAAATAGGCGAAGTACTGCAATCCTGAAACCTTTAAACAGGGGAAACCTGTACTTGAGCCAACATGGACGGCTTGTCATCAAAGGCATTTAGATGGCAAGTGTACTGAACACGATTCAAGTCCCTCCAACCGACAAGCATGGCCTGCAAACTCTCGTTATCCACAGTGAAGGATATATCCTGGCCTCAGGTCACACTGTGCAGGTGGCGCGTTGTGCCGCCATGGTCTCCGCCAAGACACCTGTAAATCATGCTCATCCTGCTGCAGACAAGTGGGCTGGGACTTTCGTCCCAATAGATAACATCAATCGGCTGCGACTTGATGCCACCCACATCTCGACGAGGTGTTGACGGACTCGATTGGCCTTGAAGCGACAACCTTTCAACGAAGCTGTTGCTGCCTGTGGCTGGTGCCTTCGAGTCCCCACAGAAGAACTCGCCGATCTGCTGCAAGTATCAAATGTTCTGAACCAGCTCCTTCCCAGCACCGCAGCAAACTTGGCAGGTCTTGTCATTGGTTCTGTCCTGCCGCTGGCGAAGAAATAAAGTGGCCAATACTATGCATCTCCATTCGCGGCAGAACTAGGCGACACTCTTCAAGCAGCGTATCAGCCTTGGTGCAGAAGATGCCCCTCTCTATGTTCTGAATACTTCTGAAAAATGCTGAGGGTGCCTGTCAATGCCTGAAGCAGGTCCCACTGCACTGGTTCGGACTTTTTGCTTTGTCAAGGAGCATCGAACACAACAACCATTGTGCACAAGGGCCCTGCTGAAGCCGCAGCGATTCGGAAGCCGCGGTTGCAAAAACAAAGCGAGCGGAGGCTCCACTCTCGCCGAATGGGTGCCATCAGTTCGCCTTGCATGGGCACCAAGGCTTACTTTGAAAGGTGGCAAACGGCTGACCAGCGCCTACAGAACAATTGGGACCAGCAGAGTGGACGCTCCAAATCGTGATGCAGCAGCTCTCGACTCCTTTGGAACCTTGGCTTCTTTGCGATCATCAACTTGCAGTTCTTTGCGATCATCAACTGGCAGCAAGAAAGGAACGCAAGGAGATGCATCGTGGGGGCGGTTTTGCCGGTCACGCAGACCCTGGAGACGGCTGTCTGTGCCTGAAGGGCAAGTCTTGTGACGGTGTGGCCCAGATATGTAAGATCTGCAAAGGCAATGAATACTCTGCATGCGCAACCAAAGGTAACTGAATTCACCCCATACACAGCAACTCATTACTTTGGAGGCACCAAGGGTCCACCTCCCGATGCCACAGCAAAGCAGCCACCACCTGGTCCCCAGCACACCTCTACCAGTGCCTCCTGCATAGACAAAGACCATACGGACTTTGCAGTGTGGCCCTCAGGGCAGCACGGAAAAAAAAAAAAAACACCGAAAAACATCATGTTTTCTCTGCAACACGGCCACTGGCCGGAGAGCACTGAGTCAGGCACCTCGCCCGCTTTGGGGTCAACATCATAAAGCGCCACAGTACCACTGCTGTCCTTACTGACTTACTGAGCCATGTCTGTACTGCTGCTAGTTGCAGTGCCTGGAAACTGGCACCAAGAAACCCCAGCCAGCAGCAAAGGGTAGTTGGGACCAGGTCTGGCAGCCAAGCACGAAGCTCTGGAATCCTGCCCCAAATCACAAAGGCTGCCACACCACCAACATCCACCAGCACTGGCCTTTGGAAGGATTGGCTCCAAATAGGTTGCGGGTAAGGACGGCAAGCACCTGCACAGCAGAGGAACTGCACCTATTAAAACTCCAAAGCCCTGTCTCTTCATCCAACATCAGTCAAAATACGAGGGCGTGAATGTAAACGCATGCTCCTCTCATGCGCGTGTTGCTCGTGCGTGCGCCTCCGCTGCAACTCCACCAACTTCTCTTCGTCTGTACTGTTGACTGCTTGGGCGGCCTGTTTCCAGCACTGTGATGCCCGAATCCCTCACATCAGTCGCTCAGGTGCTTGGGCCTGCTGGCGAGAATAGGAAAAATCCGGGCGCTGCCATAGGGGCAGGAGAGCTTCATCTGAACCTCCACAGTTTCCAAAGAAGGCTCTTACTGCGCCGCATCGCAAAAATTAAAGTCGAACTCAAAGCTACATCAACAAAGCACGTCCGGAGAAACCCTTCCCAGCACCCAAAGCCTGCATCCTCATCTGGCAAAACCGGCACGCTTCGAGAACAGCACATGGCAGCAAATGGCACTGCCAGCCATGGCTTCGCCAGCCATGGCTCCGCAGCTCAAGGCTAGGAATGCCGCATGCGACGTCGATGGGTTCAAAGTGTGTTGCCGAAGCACCGATGCGCCAAGTCTGCTTGCAACATGTCAAGAAAGTGTTCCTCGATACATCCTGATACATGATTCTTCGTGTCCATGCTGGATCACCCACATGCCTCTTGCGCAACGCAACAACGCAGCATTCAGCACACTCCAGCAAGATCAAGCCTGAGCCCTTTCCAGACCAGGAAACATTCACCTCAGGGCAGCTTTGCCTGCGCTGGCAGTGTCCAGGTGCCGTTGTTCTGCTCCTTCAAAACTCATTTTTTGCACTTCTTTGATTCGCAAGTCACTCACGCTTCAGCTCCTGACTCACGCCACTATGTTGCGACAGGCGCCGCTTTAAGATACATGTCAGAACAGGTTGCCCATTCCTTGCGGGTTGAGCAGTGGTTGAGCCGTTCAATTCGAATGTCACACTATTGAATTGGAACTACGATCCAACAGATCTTGCCCAAAACAGTGAGTCACGCGCTGGTCTCGCTTACAAGCTTGAAGATTGAGACGGTCAGCACCTTCGTTTGGTCTCTGTTGTCTCTGTTGTACAATCGTTCTCTCAGATGCGGCCAGAACTGTGAGGCACAGGCCAGGTGGCTTCTCCAGACGCAGCCTGCAGAAATTGCAGAATGGAAATCCGCCTCTTGGCCGCCGGCCTCGCGCCTGTCATCCAGGCCAGCATCCATCCAAGCAAGCCGTTGAGGCTTCAAGCCCTGGCCTGGGGCCTCCAACCTACGAGCGTGAGTTTGCGGTTGCGAGGTAGGGGCGGTAGCGAATCTCACGAAAAGGCAATGTGCAACAGTGCAAATTCATTCGATCTTGAGAAGCAGGCTGGATCTCTGCCAGTGGGCCCATCTGACTGTTGATGTATGTGTTGCGTAGGAGGAGCTCCTTCGATTTTTCCTAGATATTCCAGGTATCTGCTTACTCGATTGTTTCTACATTCAGTGGTCCACAATCAAGCGAACTCCGCGCTGAAGCCTCGCACTCCCAGCTGCTCAAATTGCAATCATTCCAATCCGAACCTCGGCAGGTTGAACCAATAAGCGCAACTTGTGTGCATGGCACACACAGCTCGTATACATCCCAGGAACTGTTTTCGGCAACGGCTTGTTTGTGGTTTACGCCTTCGAGCAACACCACACTCATTGCACATTCCAGAGGCTGTTTTCGGTAACGGCTTTGTTTGGGGTTTGTGCCTTTCAACCAACACCATAGTCGTGGCACATTCCAGGGACTGTTTTCAGAAACGGCTTTGTTTGTGGGTTGCGCCCTTGCGCAAAACCGCACGTTCCAGGATTGTTTCGGGAACGGCTTTGTATGGGGCTTGCGCCCTTGAGCAACACAATAGTCATACTGCTTTCGGTAACGGATTTGTTTGGGGTTTGCGCCTTTGAGCAACACCACCGTCATGGCACATTCCAGAGGCTGTTTTCGGTAGCGGCCTTGTTTGGGGTTTGCGCCTTTGAGCGACACCACCATCATTGGCACATTCCAGGGACTGTTTTCGGTAACGGCTTTCGTTGCGGTTTGCGTTTTTGAGCAACATTGCAATCATGGCACATTCCAGGGGCTGCTTTCGGTGACGGCTTTGTTTGCGGTTTGTGCCTTGGTAAAAACAAGAAGCAAGGGCGGTTGTGCCCCATTTGCAAGCAGACTACTTGCATGAGTGGGCCCCGCGGCGCTCCGTTTCGCAATTTGGGTTGAAGCCACACGGGACCACCATGCCAGACCCCCCGCAAAAAAGAACCCAACAAAATCAACAAATACATAAAACCTAAAGTTCAGGCACTCCGTGATTTAGCCCTTGGAAGAGAAGTCGCATAAGTCAAGTTATGTTCATTGCCATGCAGAAATTGCGATGTAAATCAAGGCCATGGTTTATTAGCATCAAATAACTTTTCACACACCACATATATTGCCTTGTAATCAGGAAGAGAATGCAGACCGATGCGCAAAAATAGGTTTTCTGAAGGTCTAAGCATCTTTTTCTTCGGCTAGCTATATTCATGGAAGTACAATAAGAAATGGCTTGCAACTGAAAGAAAAAAACGATCTCGTCTATGAAGGAGAAGCACTTATCAGGCTATTGAACAGATATGAGTAATCGTTTTCACAAATTCAAAACTTACCTGCACATTCCAAGAATCTAAACCGTCGGGAAGATAGGAAGGTCCACCCGAAGTAAAAAAACGGCAATAGGAAATAGGTCAAGCATGATTTTGAAGTTGTATTGTGTGAATGGCCGGAAATATTGGAAGAGAATGAAGGACAGGTAATCACGGGGACACCGATGCGGAAAACATCATCCGGGGCCAGCTGCTAGTTCGTGTAGGTTGTTGGGGCTATCTATATCATTGAACTGACCTCTGACCATGCTAGTCCAGCATACAACTTGTAGAGAGCGAGTTTCTTATCGAAGCTTGTCACAGGACATCCATTTTCTTTTGGAAATAGCAACTAGCACTTGAAATACACTAGTGCTACATAACTTATGGACATATGCAGTAAACATGCTGGCGCAGCGTATTGGAAACAATGCTGTCTAATCCTGCAAATGCATGACTGAGTCGTTGCGGAGGGGAAAGCGTTTTCCTTGTATGTCTTGTTTTGGCTTGCTAGCATCGAGGCGCTGGGGTTGAGAAGCGCTTGGGCCATGTGCACGAGTACGCAAACCTTCAAGCCTTCCAGTAATTGAAGACAGGAAAGGGAATAGGCTGAATGGACTACGGGGGCCTTTCCGACATAGCGTGCTGGAAGCAACAAGAGCAGCTCAGGGCGCTGCTGAAAGACTGCTTTGACTGGCTCATCAATCGCCTGCCGAAGAAACACGGCAGGAACCGTTTACCTTGTTCCTGCTGCCGTTGCAAGCGCATACGGGCGCACCGCTCAAAACCCAGGAGCTGCTGAAGAAAGGCGGGTTTGAGTTCCAAATCTGACGAAGGCCAGGATGTGATGCAGACGTGCCACAAGCCTCCAAGACATGATCAACATGTCGCGCCTGGCCGCCTTGAGCTCAGAAACTCCATCGTCTTGCGAAGTCCCCATGCATACTTCTTCATCATGTAGCAGGCCATGATCTGAGACCCCACAGTACATCGCAAAATAAGTCTTTCACTGCCAAGCCATTTTCTGGGCATCATGCGCAACAGGACCGAGACCTGATTTGACATACCCCAACTCATAGAGTCAACTTCCATGAGCAACAAGACATATCAGAAAAAACATGCGCAGTCCAACTTTGTGGCGTTGGCCGGCGCATGTTGTGGCATGTACTGAGCTACGTGCTGTCCACGGACGCTATGGATCAGCACGCTTTCTGCTGCCTGGCATGCGGGACGCACAATTTTTTTGATCACCCGTGTCCGCTCGAGCCTCCAAGGCTTGCTCAACGAAATGGAAGGTTTCGTTTGCAACCACATCACCTTGCAAGAGCTGCGAGGACATGTCCAACCTGTACCGAATAATGTTGCTCTGCTTTTAGTATATGAATCTATTATCACAGGTGTCGAAACATTTACTCTGCCACATCAGTTTTTTGGGGGGTGACCGCTATTATCCCAATTTTGTTCCGACATTTTTTCTTTAAGGGCTTGTGTTTAGGATTAAATATAGTCAAGTAAAGGCTTACATGGCTTACGCAACAAGCTTACGCAGAAAGGCTTGAAGCTCGAGGCCCTGAATTCTTTTCGCGTATCGTTTTCCCAGGGCCGCGCGCGCAGTTTGGGTGGCAACAACGCCAGCAGCCCTGCTCTGCCGGGGTACGCATATCCGTTGGCGTGATGCGCCAGGGAATCCCGAATTATGGGTCTTTTTTTTTCCCCTCCTTTTTCCGCCAGTTCCGCCATCCTGAGCGAACGAGCTACGGACCAGGAGCCCTACGACTTTGGCGCCTACTTGTGTCATCAAGGGCGCATGGGCAGAGAGCGAATCCCCCGCGTGCCCGATCTGTTTTTGCAACGTCGGGGATGGGGACGAACCTGTTTGGATTTGGCCGTGCCCGTGTCAGATGAGGATTCACCTGAATTGCGCTGTTCAGCTGCGGTTGAGCAACAATCACCCATGTTGTCCGCATTGTCGACGCGGGTGGCCCCAGCGCAGACTTGCAACTTGAGAGTGCGTGCCACGCCAATGGTGTTGAAATCACTCGCAACTGGCAACGAGGACCCTCCCAGGCAGCTGCTTTTGAAGAGCCCGCTATGCCAATTGAGCCAAATGACCTTGTTTTGTTGTGTTGTGAACGCCTTCTTACTGTCGACATTGCTGCAAGGAGTCGCCGCATGGAATGGGCTCCAGAGCAGGTATATGAGACTGTTGGGCATGGATGCCGTAGGGTTGTAGCCTGGGTTGGTGATTGGGTTTGCAATTGCTGCGGCCGCACGTTTAGCCAGAACGATGGCATGTTACGAATGCTCCGTGATGGACATGCGTGTGGCATGGGCGTGGGTTGCCGGCTGAGCATTGACTTCCAACAAGGCGTGTTTACCTGGATGTGCGGGGAATCTGGGTCTTTGATTTCGCTGCCAAGTGGTGCTGCTGGAGGGGGCGCCGAGACCCTGCAGAACTCCATTGCGCGTGGTCAACCTGAGGATGTTGATTCGTTGGGTTTTCTCGCTGCTTTGCCGCCGCTTGCAAATGACGAGTCGACGAACTCATTCTTGTACTGTCCTGTGCTGCTGCATGCGGCAAACTTGCTACGTCCTCATGCCGTTATTAAATTTACACGTTCATACACTTTATTTCGTTTATTCGCACGCGTGACACATGAAATATATTTTATTGCGTGCGCACCAATATTAATATTAAAACCTGTGAAGATAATAAGAAAGTGTACGAAATGAATTAATTTTCTGAATAAATGAAATGCTGGACGAAAAAGAGTAATAATATTGTATCCTCGTAATAATAGAGAATGGTACCATTAATATTAATACTAATAAAAGACCAATAAATATAATACTATTAACGGCCCCCATTATTACTATTATAATATACTATTTGGGGGGCCTTTACAATATTAATATTACAAATTAGCTCTTTTATGCGGGCCCCTTTTAACTTATAATATGCCCGCATTAAAGTGAATAAAAGACCAAAAGAAGGGAAGCATGGAGTCGAGCGGTGCCTTGGTTTGCTGACGTGTGTCAACATTTGGCTGCGCATACAGTCAGCCTTACTTTCATTGCACAGGCGTATGCAGAGTTGTTGCAAAACTCATGCCAGCATGATGTCGCTATGGTTCAACATTTCCATCAGACTGGCGATGCTGCGGCGGTTCATCTGTTGCAGGAGCTCAGTGCAGGTCAGCAAGACGTTGATGCAACGTTAGGGCTGATCATTCCGGCTGTCATGAGCAGTGATGGTCATGTCCCAAATCAGTTGCAAGATTTCTTGCTGCAAGTGTTTGGCGGGTATAGGCTGGCATCGAATTTGGATGCTGCAGCGACACATTTCAGAAATACCGGCAGCTGGCAAGAATGTTGCGGTTCAGCCAGGATGTTGCGGTTGAAGCTGCGGGTGAACAGTCGCGTCAGCAGCATCCTTCGGCTCGCACTGCCTCTGAGCCGCCGCCTGCTGTACGCAACGTCGGTGCCCCAGTTGACGCGGTTGATTCATCCTCTCTCGTCACCATTGAGGCTTTGCACCCACATGCTTGCTCACGCCATAATTCTGCTCGATTCGGCGCGCAACGACGTTGTTCTCTCTGCAACGCACGTATACCGCGTGAGACCCGCTTTTTTCGGTGTTCGCATTCATGTCGTTTTGTGGCTTGCCAATCCTGCTTTCGGATTCCCACCCTAGCGGTGGAACCAGCCGACGATGCTCCCCCAAGGGTCCTTGAGCCTGGTGGTGGTGACGCGGGTGCATCTACGCATGTAGCGCCCCAATTAACTCATTTCACACGGTCTCACGGGATGCATATGTGCAACGTGTGCAATCTATGATTGATTCTGGCGCTTTTGATGCAATTGGTCGTCCAAGCATGCGTCTTGAAGGCCCAACCTCATGGAGCGTTTGGCTCCGCATACTTGACTCTGCTGCTTCTGGCAATAGGTGCGGTCGTGTAAAGTGCGGGGTTTTGTATCATGTTGCGCAAATGAAAGTCTATTTCCATGGTGAAGAGCAGCCTACTCGCGAATTGCTGCTTCCTCGGTTCGAAGCATGGACGTATGTGTCTCTGGGTGCTTGTCCTGAACGCCGACCTGGGGCTGCTTTCGCTGTACCTTCCAATGTTGTTTCGAGTTTGGATCATGCCGAAGACACGCACTTGCAGGGTTCATCCGTTCATTCAGGACCAACTGTTGACGCCGATGTGATTGCGGGTGAACGTCTAGCTGATGCTTCTGCGAATGTTGCGCTGGGCACCACATCTGTGTCTATGCCTTCTGTCAATGTCGCGTCAGTTGTGTCGAGCGTGCCCCATGCGAATGCGCAGCCCGTTCACAGCGTTCCGGGTGGCCCGCTACCGTCGGTGCCTGGTGCAGGCAATGCTCCAGCTTTTATTTCTTCACCTGAGTTGGTGGCTTTGTCGCAGCTTTTGAACCAGGTCGTGCAAACCCAAGTCCAAATGCAACAACAACTTTCAGACATTTGGGATTGTTTGGGACGTGGTTCTTCTTCCGGCGTCAATGGGTTGCTCTTCCCCGGCATGCGGTGAACATGCAACGCCTGGTTGTCTAACCACGTCGTGCCCGCAGCATTGTGTGATGCAGGCTTGCTCTGCTCACCATGCTGTTCGACGCACATCTGTTTGCAGGCACGAAGGTTGTAATCAAGTGGCTTCTCCGGGTTGCTTGGTCGACTGTTGTGGTAGGCATTGCTCTGACCAGACCTGTGCAGTTCACACTATGCGGGATGGTTCTTTTTTTCACGCCACAACTCAGCGCGTGTGCAGGCGGTTGGGTTGCCCAAATGTTGTTGCGGGGTCTTGTGTGACGGGATATTGTTCCAGTCACTGTACTAGTCGGCGCTGTGTTTGTAGTGAGCCTTGTCAGCGGCCATCTGTCAGGCCTGGCGCCAGCTCTGACCATTCCCGTTTTGTGTCGCGGTCAGTTGGTCGTACTTGTCAGCGTGAGTCCTGCAGGAACGTGGTTGCCTCTTCCTGCTGCACGGGGTTTTGCAGCGCGCATTGCTTGAGCAGGCGTTGCCCTTGTCGCACTTCCGGTTCGCCCACTGGTAGTCCACTTTTGGTCCAGCCATCGCGCACTTGCAGGTCGGCCTCTTGTACCAACCCTGTGCATGAAACCTGTCGAACAGGCTACTGCCCTGAGCATTGTTATAGTCGTCGGTGTTCATGTCGCGATGCTGGCGTTGCATGTCCTTCTGGTGCCCCCGACACCTGTCGCGAACCTTCGTGCGGTGAACGTGCGCAAAGTGGATGTGTGTCCCGTTTATGCCTACATCATTGCCGTGCTCACTCTTGCCGGTGTGGTAATGCCGTTGAATCTACGTCGCGTCGGCATGTTGCAGGTGAGGCACGGGTGCCACAATGTCGATTCGCTTCCTGTGAGGCTTCTGCTGCTCCAGGATGCCGCACAGGTTATTGTGAAATACACTGTACTCGTGCTCGGTGTGGTTGCAATCGCGAGTTGCCACGCTCTATGGCTCCTCCGGCTTTTGCGCCCCGTTTGCGTCGCCGGCGGAGCTGTCAGAATAGTGTCGGGCCTCAATGCACTTCGGGCTATTGTGCTTCTCACTGTCGTCATTCTTGTTGCCGCTCCTCCCGTATCGTGCGTGCGCAAGTTGGTCCATTGCCAGATTATCTGCGGGATGTCTGTGCAGCTTTGCCCCATGATTTGTCGGCGTTGCCGGAGAGCGTTCGCGCTTCGGCTGAAACCCTGCTTGCTGCTGCACACGAGGGAAACGTCAGCGTCACCGCCAGCGCGACAGGGGTCGACCAGCTTGAGTTTGGCACTTCTAAATGCAAATCATCTCTGGTCGCCGAGCGGTGTTGAACATCCTGGTTTTTACGGGCTGTCGAGTTTTCTGCAGTCGCGGTCTGTTGATTTGTTGTGTGTGCAGGAGGCTTGGGCGCCTGATGGTCAGCGCTTCCTGTTGACCAACCTTACAGCTATGATGATCCCATTGGCGTTGGTGGTTGTGAAGCAGGCTTTCTCGTTCATTCCGCATCCGCCTCGTGGCCTGTTGTGTCCGCCGGGCTGTCCCATCGTATCCGTTGGAGGGTTCTGGCCACATCACCTGATGACACCAAAGTTTTGGTGTGCAGTTAGTACGCTCCACATGTGGGCATTTGTTTGCCAGAGCGTCTTGCATTTTGGAATCACTTGCGGGCATCCGTCGAACATATGTTGCAGCTGTATCCCGGCGCACAGCTGCTTTTGGCAGGTGATGCCAACGTGTACCTTTCAGAGGTAATGGATGCCGGCAGGGAGCGGAGTTGTGAAGCTCAGTTGCGTGTTGTTATTTGCGCATTTTTGAATGACTTTGGTTTAGCCATCCTCAACCCAGTGCGTGTTTCCACCCATAGGTCCGGTTCCTCTATTGACTTAGTGCTTGCATCTCGGTCTTTGGATGTGAGAAAAGTGGTTGTCCATGATGGTTACTCATGCGGTTGCCCCTCAACATGTTGCCACCCAGCTCTTGGTAGTGACCATCAGCTCATTACTTTTGATGTGATGGTGAAGCCAGCAGTTGTGTCCAAGGTGCCACGTTGGCCCAGGGTCCGTGACTGGCCTGCTGTCCTTCGCGCTATGCGTCCTGACCTTCTCAGGTGGGCTTCCCGAGTGGTACGCCTTCGTAATGAGTGTGACGCTGCAAGCAACGTTTCAAAGCAGGCGGTTGTTGATATTTTGTGCGGGGAATTTGTTGCCTTGATGTGGAGTCTGCCAAGGCAGACGGTGCGCAACACACAGGCTCTTCGTCGTCCCCAGCCAGATTGGTGGGATCCTGAATGCTATGATCTCATGGTTTCACGGAACGCGGCTTATCGGCTATGGCGTCGTGAGCGAACGCCTGCTGCCCGTGCGGCGTTTCGTGCCAAGAGGCGTTTTCACCACTTTGTACGTCGCAAGAAAGCCCAGTTCTGGAACACCTGGCTTCGTGCACAGGAGCAGCTTGCCGGAGATAACCCCCGCATGGCTGCACAAAACATACGACAGCAGATGGGAATGCGACGGCATGTGTTGCCGTGTGCCATGCGTTCATCGGACTTTTGTGGTGGTCTTGTTGAAGGTCCAGCTTGTTTAGATGCTTGGCGTGCCCACTTCCGCGATGTGCCGTTAAACGCTCGGCCTACTGTTGTGAGCCCTGGCAAATTTGCCGCGGATGTTGAAGGCGCGGTACAGCAGTTGAGGGCTTCTATGCCCTCCAACGTCGGTCACCTTGACTTTCCGCTGTCGGAGGCCGAACTCACTCAGGTGTTGCAAGAGCTCCCCGCCCAGATGGTTTGCCTTATGAAGCACTTCGGGTTGACGATCCATGCCTGCGCTCCTCGTTGCTGGTGTTTTTTGAGCTTGTTCGGTCCTGGTCGATCGTCCCTTCTGTGTGGCGCTCAGCCATTGTTGCGCCTCTCCACAAGGGTGGCTCCGACTTGTCGACCAATCAGCCTGC